GTCGTGGCAGGTGAACTTACTTGCGGGCAGCTGGACTTAGAGGGGTGAAGTCGTCGTTCTCAAAGTCATCGTGCTCTTCCTCAGAGTTACGACGAGATCCTGGCATCGAGTGCGAAGGCAGATTACCATTGCCCTGGAAGTTGGCAGGAGGGGAAGTGACTTGAGAGTTGGCGCGGCTGCTGCGTGTAGTGATGGCCGGATTGATACTGGACATGCTGAAACGGTTCGGACGCGATAGTGCAGACGGGAAGCCGTTGACCTCGCTGTACTCAGGCGGTGTGGTGGGCTGGCTATGAGCAGGTCCGCCGTAGTGATCGTTTGAGAATCGGTTGACGTCAGTCTCGCCGTGCTGGGCTTGCAGGTTGAGGAGCTCCATCTCAGCGTCGAAGCGCCGTTTCGCCTCTTTGAGATATTCGTGTTCGATTCGTTTCCTCTCAAGCTAGCAAGCTGTTAGCTGATCACGCGGACCGGCAAGAGGGTTTGTCGTGAGGCAACAGTGTCGCTCTTGACGTAAAATGAGCGCAAATGGGAAACGATGAGAATGTAGATAAGGAATGAGAGTCTCGAATCGAGACCGTGGGATGTACAGGCGTGGTAGTAGCAATGAGGCTTTTTGCAGAGACGGCGAACTTTTGTTGTGGTGTAGGAGGAACAAAGGCGAGAGACAGTTGTTGGCCTATTTGCGCGTCGTCGCCTGGTCAGGCGACCTTGGCCATTGCAATCTTACTTGCAGTGGAAAATGAGGGGCACCGAGTGAGAGGCGATAGAAGACGTAGTGAAGTAGACTTACAACTTGCAGCTTGTGGTACGTCTGTTGGCATTGGTCGTTAGCCCAAACTCTTGTTCACCGCGAATACACATATATGCAGCTGACAGAAAGCAACTTCAGCAAGCAGCAGAGCTGAATGATTCCGTTTCACGTCTCTCCGACATGGTTGCGACAGCTGCTGAGTACCGATGTGCAAAGCGCCGCGGAGCGCCAACACTTGACGTCCGCCTCTTACTTGTACGAGAGTGCCCACATACCGCTGTAGTAAATTCGGTCGGCTCTGCCGCCTGTCTGCGTTGCTGCCCGATTGGCGACAGTGGTGTACTCATGGTGGGAATGTTGTTGGTCGTGAAGCGTCGCTGCAGGGTCGCGCGGCCGTCGCCGTTCTGGTTCTGAGCGGCGCGATTCAGGGAAAGGAACGACGACTCTTCGCGAGGAGATCTGAGGCCGTTGCCTCCTCCCATGCCTTGGTAGGCCATAATGACTAGAACACTAGAAATACACTGCCAGTTCGGTCAGCGCGACTCGGCAGGAAGCTGGTGTGGGGGATTGGCGGGCGGTGTGGTTTCACCTGAGAGCGGCAGCCACTTGTCGCAGCACACGCAAAGCGCAGTTACATACAGATAATTCGTACACAGGGCAAAGGCCCTTACTACCCTCGCTGCTCGCTGTTCTTGATCTTACAGGGTTGGGACGGAATCGTTGTTGGAGGCTCGGTACGTAGGCAGGAACGGAAGTCGCTATGAAGCGGGTCGCAGCAACGCGCACTTGACGGCCTATGCACAGCACGAGTCGTGGGTAAGGACAGTCTGAGAAAGCCTGGATGTGCTGGCCAACGATTCAAACTTCAGGCACCGAAAGAGCAAGTCTACAGATGGAGCGGGAGTGGAGCGTTGAACTCAAGAGCTCAGGGTCCATCACTGATCAGGGGACGATGTGGCGCTCAACTAGTGCTGGGTGGGATTCCGCACATATTGCGCATCTGCTTGTCGCGTACTGTGCCCAATTGAGGTTTTGGACCCTCCTGTTCTCCCGCAAGTCTTCTACTGTACATGCACACCTACTATACAAAAGCACCTAGCACCAAGGGCGGACCTCATCTTGAGGATTGGGAATGCCTTGTAGTCATTGCCTCGGAACCAACAGCTAATCGTACATCGCATCCCACCTTCTGCGCGTCGTCCCAGCCTTTCACATACCTCTGCGCAGCTGTCACAGTCTTCCGTTATTTAATCCGACCCACTCTAGCTCGATATGCGCGGCAAACGTGGTTCTGAATGCTTCTCTACAGCGTGTTCCAGGCCCCTGGAGTGGGATGGAGATGCCGGCGGGCGGTGCGCAATACCCTCACGTCATCCGGCAGCTTTTCGCCCAGGAAGCCGCTGAACCAGTCAAGGTTGCAGCACCGAGTAGTACCGCAATACAGTACAAGGAGGGGCAGTGTAGCTTCCACGGCCGAAGGACTGGCGGGGCATAGATCATCTCAAACACCGACGCATGCCGCTACGCATGCCGCGCCAGCATGGTAGACATGTCGTGCAGAAGCATGAATTGGATATTACCATAACAAAGCTGTTATCTGTCGCCTGGAGATACTAATGTGCTTGATGGTCAGGCGGTACTAGCCAGCGATTGCTCAGTCGTTTGATCCATCATGGTCGCCATGTATGCTTCTCTTTACGACAATGTCGATCCTCTCGAATGAGGCGCCTCGTTTTCCAACGCAGCCAATGCGGTTAGGTAGGTCCTGACCGCTCTCGTTTCAGAATCGAGAACCAGGCATTTCCCCGCACACGCCTTGCATCTGCCAATCACTAAGGGATGCAGGGTGGACTCCGTGGGACCGGCTAAAGCGGTGCGCCTGTATGCAACCATCGGCGGAAAGAAAGTAACATATGCGAAGACATCGATCGCGAGTGATTTCAGATGGCAAGCCTTCGTTGCGATGTCTTGATAGAGTTGCTCGTGGCAGGAAGCCGCAGCACGTGTGCTGCTTGGCTTGAATACTAACTAATCAGATCTTAGTTCAGGCAATGCGGACCTCTGCACCCGAGAAGCAATGCACCCGACAGCTGCGCCTTCTATTCTCATTTGCCACGCCCCGATGTATTCTTGCAGAACAGCTTCAGAAAAATGACGCAGGGTGCCAGTAACAGCACAATGGCTATGTGCATTGTCACCAAGGTGGTTGCATTCTTCGGAAAGTCCTCAAAATTCTGGAGAATGAGCAGGACGTTATCGCGTGGCACGTCACGGTCTCCATTGATTAGCGTGTAATCCGGGATTGACTTCGATATATCGGGACATATACCAACGCTCTGAGATGCATGCCCACGTTGAAGTATATAGTCTTCACTGTCCGATTTGAGACTGACGAAGACTCCGCTTTCGACGCACTAGAAAGTGATGCTCGTATAGTAAACGTAGGCATTCGATACTGAGAAGCCGAGGCTTCGACATCGTCGGCGCGAGTCCCCTCAATTAGACTCTATTGGCGTTGCTCAGTCCCCTCTTTTGATGCAAACGGACCCGCAACGCCCTATATACACTAAAGAAAGTTACACAAGTGACGTTCTTCTTGAAATGCTCAGAGCCCGCACTCCGGTTTCACTTGCGCACCTCAGATGTGAATTTAGATATGTCGAAAATATTGCAAAATCTTCTCAGTCTCATTACGACTTCTGCCGGTCATATTGCACTCAACCCTCTAGTGACGGCAACCCTACTATGGGCGTTAACAAAAGGGCCTACACAACTTCGTAGCCAACTCACAACCCGAATCCCTGCTCTTCGAGACCCTCACAGATATGCACGGATTCTGAAGGCCTTGAAGTGGTGTCTGATAGCTGGGACGGCATCAGTTGTTAACAAGCAGCTCAACCACATTGCCCTAAATGCAGGCAGGTTGCGAAGTGAGAAGGCAAAGTGGAACTGGAGCCGGGAGGTGGCAGTCGTCACAGGAGGATGTAGCGGAATCGGGGAGCTGGTGGTCAAGAGATTGATCAGTAAAGGGATAAGGGTAGCAGTGCTGGATATTCAGCAATTGCCTTCCGGGTTGCAGGGCTGTAAGACTGACCATCACTCACTGTGGTAGCTATTGCCTAGTACTGACGCGCCTGATAGATGCCGGTCTGAAGTTCTTCAAATGCGATGTTACCGACGCATCCGAAGTCTATTCCATCGCCGAAAAGATCAAGGAAACGATGGGTTCACCGACTATTCTCATCAACAATGCCGGTATCCTAGCTTCTCACACTATTCTTACCACATCCGACGTGTATCTTCGGAAGATCTTCGATGTAAATGTGCTCAGCAACTGGTATACCACCAAAGCGTTCCTGCCAGATATGCTTCGTCACAACAAGGGCCATGTCGTGACAGTCGCAAGTACTGCAAGCTTCATTGGTGTCGCTGGTCTGGCGGATTACTGTGCGACGAAGGCGGCCATTCTCAGCTTCCATGAAGGTACGATGTTTGCTTTTACTCTTTGATGCAGCATGCTGATTCATGATAGCGCTCAACCAGGAACTCAAGCTCCACTACAACAGCCCAAACGTACTGACAACATCCATACATCCCAATTGGGCTCGCACGCCTCTTCTCGCACCCGTAGAACAGGAGCTCAAGAAGCAGGGATCTGCAATTATTGAGCCGACTGCCGTCGCGGATGCGATTGTTGGAAGGATCATGGGCTGCAGCGGCGGACAGGTCTTCCTGCCTAGCAGTATAAACAAAATCAGTTTGTTGAGAGGATTGCCGAATTGGGTACAAGAGAATGTTCGAAGTGGTCCGAGCAAAGCGATCTACAACACTGTCAAATAGGCGCAATTGATCTCGTATGTAGCAGTTCCGTAGTCGTGTTGTAATGTGCTACCACCCATTTCGCAATCCATGCAACCACCCCGGGGGAAAAGTGACTGGCTTCGGCGAGACTCATGCAGCGAGTCACTTTGTGTGGTAGCACGACCATGACTTGCCGGCATCAACTTACCCATTGCAGTAGGTTTCGGGGAAAAGTGTTGAAAACGGCATGCAACGTGCCGTGTACGCATGAGGTGTGTGTGGGCTCTGCCGTTCTTCCGCCGTGCTTCGGTACCATTCACGTCGCTAGCGCCTCCGTCGCGTCGAAGCCGCCGAAGAACGCGTCGCGTCTCCCCCCTCCGATTGCTCTGCAACGACCTACAACACATTACGTCTACGATCAAACCACCAAAGCTATACGTCAAAAAGGATGGCAGAACCACAGGAAGACGTTCAGATGGACACCCAAGAAATTGAGCTGGAAACACCGCCCTCAGATGTCTTCATGGCACCTTCAATATCCAAGCCAGGCATTCTCGGTGGAAAGTCGTATTCGCACTTCTCACCAATACCGAAACGAATAGCAGACGACATGTCCGCAGAAGTCGTGCTAGGTGTTGATGAAGCTGGACGAGGTCCTGTCTTGGGTACTTGACTGCCTTACGAGAGCCCTTCTAGTCACTAACATGTTCAGGGCCCATGGTGTACGGACTCTTCTATCTACCCATCGAACTGCATCACTCTCTCCTCGCCGAAACGCACCACTTCGATGACTCCAAGGTCCTGACTCCTGAAGTCCGCACAGATTTAATGCGCAAGCTCTGCACCAAGGGCTCAGATCTCTACGAGGCCGGCGGATGGGCAACACGCGTCATGTCAGCGCAAGACATCTCAGCGCACATGTTATCCCCCAACGTATACAATCTCAACGCCCAAGCAATGGATGCCACCATAGACCTGATCAAGGAGGTGCTGGCTCAAGGAGTGAATGTCAAGGAGATCTACATCGACACCATTGGCAAACCAGAAATTTACCAGAAGAAGCTAGAGAGGATATGGCCTACAATACGGATTACAGTCGCGAAGAAGGCCGATAGTCTATACCCTTGTGTCAGTGCGGCATCAGTGTGTGCAAAGGTTACCCGGGACGCCGCCCTGGACGTCTGCTACGAACCCTACCAGAATCGCGCTACCGAGGCGAACGAAGATGCTGAAGTCAAAGTGGCTTGGGGTTCCGGATACCCGTCAGACCCAAGGACACAGACCTGGCTGAAGCAGAACATGGACCCTCTTTTTGGCTGGGGTAGCGAGACTCGCTTTTCGTGGGGAACCGCCAAAGAGCTTCTAGAAGGGAAGAAACCCGACGTCGCTATCGAATGGCCTACGGAAGACGATGGTAACGACATGCGCATGACAGACTTCTTTAGTGGTAAGAATGAAGGCGGTGGAGACGAATTGGTTGACTGGTTCGGAAAGCGTGTCACACAGGAGATGGATGTGTTCTGATCGCGTGCGGATACCGTACGAGATCGAGAGCACTAGCTCAACCACGACCCGCACGTTGGATATTCTGAACGCAATCAGTAACGAAATTGGCACCGCGCAAACTGCCTATAACTTGATTCGGAAATCAAACTATGCAGGGCAGAGTATTCGGGCGCACTGATCGGTCCGTCCTGCACCGGGCGCCAACATTAGACGCAGGGTCCGCCAACTGCCCGATCACAAACAAGCAAAATCACGCGCAGACTATAGGTTTGGCACGGATGTCGTAATCGCACGCAGGGAGAGTCCATCGAGGCAATTCAAGCGAGCTTAGAAACATCAGTATTTGGTCCACAGAGCAAGAAGCGGTGAAAGGATATCCAAGCCATCTCAGCTGCCATGCTGCCTTTCGCATCTACTAGTCTTTGTTCTTTAGGCCCCAAGCTTGTAATGTACGCATGTTGGCGTCTACTGTGCCAACGGTCGTCCATGCAGGGCACCAACCATCTTCGATAATGCCCGCGCTTCACAACAACCGTGCGGCCAGCCACGTTGACATATACAATAAATTAGGTCAATGTATCCGAGTCATCCTCTCTTGACCTTACAAGTAGCTGTCAATCCAATATACATGCTTGACTTCCGTTGTAAGAAGATCATAAGATCATCTACCTCCACCACTCAACGCTTTGTCTACTCAAACTTCCCAGACCCAGCCTGGTTACACGATAACAAAACTTGAACTTGCCAAAATGTGCGCTGATGCCCTCGTTTGTCGAAACTCATCCAGAGATTACAGCAACCCCAGGCCGTTCGCACGAAGAGGCGGAATAGCCAAGCGCGGAGAAGGCAGTCTATCTACAACACCTAGCTATTATGAGAAAGAACTCAGAACCTTTTACTACCAAACCAAGGCATCGCATGCAGCCAACATAGAAACCGACACCGATGCATACCCTCCCTCACCGCCACTATCGCCGAAGACCACAGTAACGCCGCTCAGGGTGCGAAGAACACAACGTGTTGAACGCAAACGCGACCATCCCTACCAACAACCTCCATCGAACCGCAGGCCGAGCTGGCGCCCGAATCTCAAGCAAGAGATTTTACGCCGTAGCTCGATCGACTCTATCGTAGACCCTTTCAACGACGTAGGATGGTTTGAGACAGACTGTCAAGTGTCGGCAACACGAAAGAGGTGCAGCACTGTTTCATTGTCAAATCATGGCGATATCGAAATGCTGAAGCCGCGACGGCAATCAACACTGCTACATCCATCATCGCCGGATATTGAGCCCGCCAGCGGTGTTGATTCTTTCGATGCTCCTTCGACCTCCAACGGTATGCACGAACAGAACCAGTCAACCAATCTTTCGACCCACCGATCAGTTACGGCTTCGAGAAAAGGCTCGTCATTGTTGCATCCATCCAGTCCTGCCAGCGACATTCCCTTGGGTATTGAGCTAAAGACTGTCATGTCTTTACCCCCAAAGTCCCTACGGGGAGAAGACCGCGCACATTGAGGTTCACGCTCACCAAAAAACCTTGCTTTTGGAGCCAGACATTACTGTTCTGCTTGCTGTCTCAATTCTGTCATTCAAGTGTTATTCAAGGCGGCGGTGGTTGTAGAAAGCATTCATGGCTGCTAGTGTTAGACTAGCGTTCTTTTGGCTTGGTGTTCGCTTTCAACATATGAGTGGTCTGCGGATCCGTGTGGGTCTTGCTTTTGCACCCACCGAGACATAAAGGCGTGAACACAACCGCTGGACTTCACCAATGCGGAGAGCCGGCGGAAGCCACCAGGACTTTCGGATTCCCCGGACATTCGCGACATTGAATGTGTGTAGGGAAGCATCCTCTGACTATAAAAATACGGCGTACATTATAGGCGGCTTTTTCTCATCACTATAGCATACTTGGTAGCAACTGTTTCCAGGGTCGCAGCTGGTCATTTCAACGTTGAGTTTCAACAACATTGTCCCATTTCCCAACGATAGCAGGATCCCCAACAACCACATAATGGCAGCACCAAGCGCAGATCTTCTTTCGCGCAACGACTTTCTCAGCAAAGACTTTGTTCTTTCCAATTGCAGCATTTGTGTAAAACCGTTCGACGTAGATCATCATATATACATGAGGCCCGCAAAGTGTCATCACAAATTTGGGACTGATTGCTTTTGAAGACTGGTCAGGGATTGCGATCTAGAACAGGGACTACCCAAATGCCTTCTGGGCAAACAGTGACCGTTCTTCAAACTTGACAAATCTAAATTCTTCGAGGGCGCGCGACGGGTACCCCTCGCCAACGAGGACTTTCAGTTGGCTCAGCATCCCGACGCCTGGATCGAGGCGAAAACCTTTATCAAGCTCATTCGAAAGGCATTGTACGGTCTCTACAAACGAGAACAGACTATCTACGATTCTGATATCGAACAAGGCGTTAACTTTGGCTGGGTTTCAATGGCCTAGTACCACACTTTGGTCCCCCATATGTTTAGCGAATACTGCTTGGTGTTAGAAAGCTGGCACTGGAGATATTGAAGGTGCATTATGAAAATGGCTGTTATTTTCCACTCAAAAAGATGAAGGTTGGAGGACACACGTACAGCTTGAGGGAGGTGTTGGTGTGGTAGTTGAAATATTGCGAAGAAAACGGGGTACTTCCACCGCATTGGGTAGAATTTGAATTCACTCGAAATCAACATGGCACTTTCGCCATTGAAGGACCGCAAATATTTCCTCGATGAATGCATCGAGAGTAATGCGGATTGCGATCTCTGCGGAGGTTTTCTTTCACGTAGGAGCCAATAAATCCTTCTTCACGCTTCTCGATTACTGACATACTTGTCTTAGCACTATTTCTCCGCATTAGAAGCGAATCTCATCCTTGTCACGGAGTATATTGTGGTAGTTGTCTCACCAATCACCTCAAACATCACAACACTTGTCCACTTCATCCAGATGTAGTCCTCCTTTACTTCGGTCGTGAGCCGGGGTTTATGCCTGGTCAACGCGAGACCACCAATACGCTCGATCGGATCACATCTGACGTCGAGGCTTCTCAGTTCGTCATACAACTATGGTGTGCAACTAGGCAGCTGTACGGCTACGAGCACATCTTCGACTCCGACATTCAAGAGAAGATTAAAGATACGCTAAGTGTGATCTGCGAGGTCTTTGATCACGAATCTCCTTTGCTCATAAAGGACGAGCATATACCTGGTGTTGTGTCTATCGCGAGAGAAATGATCGAAATGAATTTCAAGTGTCAAAATAACCCCAATGAGGAGTGCGTACTAGGACACTGGCTACCGAAGATGGACCAGGCTGTGGGTTGGGCACGGCGGACCTGATTTGGCTCGGAGTAGTCAGCTGGCTACACGCTTGAGGTATCGTTTTCATCTCATCATGTCGATGTAGGAGGCAGAATATACGATGAAGCTACGAACGCGGATTCTCAGGCCTCGACAGGAGACGGACACCTCAACTGCTACTATCGTCTAGCGTTCATAATAGTCATTTTTGATTACATTTTGATGAAAGCGTATTGATTCATCGCTGATACTACCTACAAGTCATGCTTACTGAATCCAAGCTCATATATGTATCCCAAGACGAGCTGGCCATGTTGAATTACGTGGTCGGGATCCATGTGTTCCATGGTGTCATTGGCAGTGTGGATGTAAGGGTTTCGGTACTCAAAAGCAGATTCGAAGACGAACGACGCGGGGAAGCCACTCCTCATGGCAGAGCCATGATCGGAACACGCGTATCCACATGTGCTGTTGACATATGCGATGTCGGTGTACTATATCGAAGTTAGATCTGCTAACTTATGTCTTGATTTGCATGCACTCACCTCCTTGATGACGCGAGTGATGTACTCGTTAAGCGCCGGATCCGTGAAATCGGTGATAAGACCAAAGCTCTCTGGCTTTCCAGCGTTAAGAGTACCCTTTGTGTATCCAACCATATCCTGCTGTAACATGGCCCAGATATCCCTGCCGGCGGCCGCATATTGCGTGAAGATGTCTTGACTACCACGCAGTCCTCCCTCCTCCGCCGCGTACCAGTGGAACTCGATGGAGTTTTGCAGCTTGCTTGGGCCGAAGTCTTTGTCGCTTAGCAATACCCGGAGAGCTTCTAGGATAAGGAACGATCCGCTACCGTCATCATCGACACCTGGCGCACGTCCATTCATTCGGTCTGCTGAGTTGATAGAGTCGAGATGAGCACCCACAACTACAGTCCTGTTGCTTCGTCCTTGGACACGCGCAACGACAGAGTTTTGCGGCCATCGTGCGTGTGGGAAGGCTTCGGCAGTAACGCCCTTCTTTCCAGACTTCAATACTACATCTTGAACCTGACCAAGAAGCCACTGCGCAGCCTCGGCGCCGGTTTCGGTTTCGGAAAAACGCGTGTGAAAGGTAGAGTAGTACTCTAAGTTCTTTTTGATGTTATCCCAACTGAGTTTCGGGAAAAGTCGCTTGACATTTTCTTGGTATTTGAACTTTTTGGGGTAGGGTGGTCCTGCTCTGACTGCGAGAGGTGCGACATGGGAATCACTGATGTCGAAGAAATGGCTTCCGCAGCCGCCGCTCTAGGAGAAGGTCAGATCAGGTGAATCCTAGCAAGGTGTATGTTACTGACAGCGGAAAGTTCCCATCTCTCTTCTTCTGTGATCTGGGTAGTCTCTCCAGGAGCGACTTCAATAGTAAATAGCGCCCTGGGCGCAACCTGCTCTGGCTTCGCAAACACAGCGGTCGCACATACTGCGGCAAGGAGAGCTGCAGACTTCATCTTCGTAATACTGAGGATATCCGATTGCTTAAGTAGTTGAAGCCAGTGTGGTGCTCAACTCGTGCTTATGAGGCCAAATATATAGGTGTCTTGCGTCAGCTTCGGGGTGCATTCTTCCATCACGTTCCGCTTGATGCCTTGTCTAACCATGGGCGATATGTTTGTGTGTATTCAAAGGATGTACCAAGAGTGGAGCGAGCCAATATCATAGCCCACAAGCCAATCGGGCCGTACAACAGATCCGGGGTAGATGCTAAGCGCGTCTTGTCGCTGCAATGAGTCTTGTCTCTTTCCTATCCTGGGGTAGTGCATCGTGTCTTCTTGTCGCGAAGAGTATATTTGTATTCAGGTAGAAAGTAGTTTGCTTGCTGGTCCGGGCTGTCGGATCATTTAGCCAGACTTTGATGAAATCTGGACAATGAGGGGGTTACGAGAAGGAAGCGAGGGTAAGACGTTGCACCTGCATGCACGAGACGATGTCGCGCTAGAACCACGCTAATGCTTCCACTATGGATCACGACCTTGGTCGTGTTCCAACTACCCAATGTGCATTCCTCACCCATTATAGATATTGTGGTTTGCTTGCTGGAGGTGTACCTCCAGCAATTCGTTAGAATTTCTATCCGTGGCTCGCCCCGGCTCGCTACGAAGCCGACCAATCGCATAAAGCCTTTCGTAACAGCAAGCAAGCGAGGGCCTACTTTTCTTTCGCTTCTCGTTCGTAGACGGCAGCGTAGCTGCCTAATCGTGATCGTCTCATACTAAATGCTTCTACTTCGCCGTTATCTTTTCGACCTCCATCACAATAGCACAAGAGCTATCAAGATTTTAAAAGGCACCATGGAATATCCTCGAACTGATGAACATCTGCTTGGAACAGCTCGACGTGTTAAGAGAAAGATAAAACAGCACGATATCGCAACGAATTACAGACGATCCGAATCTTAATTGACATTGTCATCAAGACGTTACAAGTCTACACTGACGTCTTTATTGACTGTCCTCAGTGTGTTCATGATGCCCACCCATTTTGTAGCGCCTTCCAAAATTTCACGACGTAAGCATAAAGGGATTGAGCACAATCAGCTTTTAGAAAGTGGCCCGTAGGGATAGCTGGTGTAATATGTTTACAGGTCAACGAAGCGTGTAAAGATGTAAAGTACAGCATTTTAACCAGCAGAGATGGAAACCAAAGCTAGAGCACGTCACAGCCTGCACACTTATCTTCTGGCGACAGGCCTGTAGCATTCGGATGTTAGAAGGGAAACCATATCAACGAGAACACAGTCAGGCATACTTCGCATTGTATCTCCTATGATTCAGACTCGCGGTCGAATTCGGCATTGCGGTTTTGCATTGCTGCACACGGTGTGGAAGTAAGTAATCCAAGCGCTGGAAGTAAAGGGCAAAGAACGCATACTCTGAAGCAGTGAGCGTCTGTACGTGCTTGCAAGCAAAGTTGTTGGCCAGCAGGCTATCGTAATGGACATGATGTTCCCGGGTGGACTGGTCGATATGCATGCCCCACCACGACGAACCTCACTAAGAAAAAGTCTGCCGCAACACTGCCCCACCATGCGGCGGTTTGAATGTGATCTCAACCGTCCAGTCTGACAGAATCACAAACGACTTGGGATATAACGTTTTCATTTTCTGGTCATTCCATCATTACTAAGCAACAACTGGCCTAATGGCCCAATGGCAAGGCGCTTGACTACGACTCAGTTCGATATCAAGAGATTCCAGGTTGTAAGTAGCACTCAGTTGCCATCTGTTCGAACACAGTTTCTAACATTATCTCAGCGACCCCTGGTTAGGTCATCAGTTCTATCATGCTTAGCATCTTTCGCATCGGTGGTTTAGTGGTAAAATTAGCCGTTGCCATCCTTCACAGGACAGTTTCGGCTAGCCCCGGGTTCGATTCCCGGCCGATGCATTACCTGCTCAAGTTATTATTTTTGCGGTTGTAATGATCTGGGGATGATGTTGTGGCGGAGATGGTGGATGGTGCGGCAGAGGAGAAAGAACCTCTTTTTGAGGTTTGACTAAAGACAAACATCGAACACTACTTACCTTGAACGTCGCATCTGCGAGCGCTAAGATCAGATCTTAGAAGCCACTGCATTCTCAAAGATTGCTGCGAAAAGTTAGTTGATATGTGAGTGGCCTGTTTCGCTCTTCTGGTTGGATCTTGTTTCAATTTGCATCTACATTGGACGAAGACTGGTATATGTTTCTCGCCTTGGACGAACGTAGTTTCCTTGCAGTTCTTTAGATGCACGCACTCACTCGAAGGTTGCGTTAACTGCCTTTAATGAAGTACCGCAAAGAAAGGTCACTTCTACCAGTTCAATGGCGTCAATGCTTAAAGCTTGGGAATTGGCACAAACAGTTCTGAAGGTGTCCTGAGTGACGAATGCACAGACCTATTGCGCGGTATCCCTCCCGACTGTACCTATTGGAGGTGATGGGAAAGAACTTGAGTGCGGTCTGGATGTGTAATTGCTTACCCTCCTTCCGCAAACAATACTCATCGCTTATGAGCCGTTGCAGCTCGGCTTGTCATTTTCTCGAATCACACGTGCGGCGAGCCCTCACCATCGAGAGGTCTGCTCCAGAGCTCCATCGCACAATATCCATGGGTTCTAGTGGAAGGGCAACTTATAACCCGGATCCAGATGCCAGCAGCGTCTTATGGTATGGCCTGTTCGTATAGAGAGTTGTATCGATCTTGCTTGCAGCGTCTTCAGCGACAACGGCTTGAAGATAGAAGTCGTACGCGTTGCGCCTAAAACTTGGGCAAGTCGTTTCGTTGAAGAGTGCCGGCACACGTACGTCTCGGCTAGACACTGGAGATAGTAGCCGCAATTGCCGTAGTTGCCGTAGTATTGAAAGCAGGTCAGATGGTACGTGTTATACCTGATTGGTAACGAGCAACGGCGAAGATCACCGCTCCTTCCAATTTCTCAACATCTCAGACCGACATGTACTCTCCTGTATTAATCCCGAATAGTGATGATGGGCAGCGGCAAAGAATACCGCTCTCTTCAATATCTCAACAAGGCTCACCGACACGTTTTCCTTTGACCTCAGCCTTCACGACTTTGACCGGAAAAAGCGCGTGTTGCGCCGGCCCCGTACACATCGCGTCTATTCTCGCAGAATTTGCGCGACCAGAGTGTTTCTCCACGGTCGTACCACATACAGATGTACCCTTTCCAGTGTATTCTGATGCGATGGTCGAGCGCCTGTGCGGTAGGGGAAAGACTTGGTGCGTATCCTACATGGCCCTAACGACACCCCTGTTATATTTAGTCGTGGCAATCATCAAGCTTCCTCTGACGGTGTAGTTGATCAAACCTGATTCTGTAGTTCGCGGGACCGAAAGGAAATATCTGGGATGGATTCTGGCAGGCGCTGTGCTGTGCGTATACACCAGTGTAAGATGGTATGGCTCCAGAGCACTAAATGCCAGTTGTTGAACCGAGCTAGCGTGCCAAGACCGGCACAGCACGACTTCCGCGCCGCTAACGTCCTGATCTTCTCCATGAAT